AAGGAGGCAGGCACCAGGAATCCTGTGCGCGTATTCATTGCTGTAACTGCTGCAGTGTAATACAGCACATACAGCTCACAAAAGATGCTCAACAACCAAAAATAGTACTCAGTTTTAAGCAAATCACTATTCGTTTTAAAATTTGTTTAAAATTTGAGCTTTTTTATATATTTGAAGTATACAACCTGATGTTTTGATGTGCATACTCACAGTGAAATGGGTATGAAAGTCGAGCTAACATATGAGGAAACATCAAAACGTTTTGGAAAATGGAATTTAAAAATAAGTTTATTTTAAAGGTGTAAATAATTTTTGAACAGAGTTTTCATAATATGCATTTTCCATGAACTTTTTGAAGACCCCCCCCATTTATCACCTTCCATAGTTACCATTTGTATGTATATATATAAAAGCATATATACGCACAACACTTCCTGTCAGGTAACAGGAACCCACACTGAAGTGACAGATCACAAGCTACACGGTCTTCAAATCCATTTAGCATTTTGAGCTTTTTTTTTACTTTGCAGGGTGATGATGGTGATCAGATAGACACACATGGCCGGCGCCGCGGCTCACTAGGCTAATCCTCCGCCTAGCGGCGCCGGCACACCGGGTTCTAGTCCCGGTCGGGGCGCCGGATTCTGTCCCGGTTGCCCCTCTTCCAGGCCAGCCCTCTGCTGTGGCCAGGGAGTGCAGTGGAGGATGGCCCAGGTGCTTGGGCCCTGCACCCCATGGGAGACCAGGAAAAGCACCTGGCTCCTGGCTCCTGCCATCGGATCAGCGCGCTGGCCGCAGCGGCCATTGGAGGGTGAACCAACGGCAAAAGGAAGACCTTTCTCTCTGTCTCTCTCTCTCACTGTCCACTCTGCCTGTCAAAAAAAAAAAAAAAAAAAAAAAAAAAAAGATAGACACACATACATGCACTTTATGAAACATAAAACTCGCCACAGGGGCTGATGCTGTGGTGCAATGGATGCCGACAATCCATACGGGCACCAGTTCAAGTCCCAGCTGCTCTATTTCCAATCCAGCTCCCTGCTAATGTGCTTGAGAAAGCAGTGGAAGATGACTCAAGTGCTTGGTCCCCTGCCACCCACATGTGAGACCCGGATAGAGTTCTAGGCTCCTCGCTTTAGACTGGCCCAGTCCTGGCCGTTTTGGCCATTTGGGGAGTGAGCCAACGGACAGAAGAACTCTCTTTCTCTCTCTCTGTAATTCTGCCTTTCAAGTAAATAAATAAATAAAATCATATTAAAAACAACTCTCTATAAATGTAAGGGCAAAATAGTACAAAAAAATTTTTTTTACTATTTTTTACACTATGTGAATTACACTGTGCTCTACAAAAATTCTATAATGTACTTATAAGTCTAATGACAATTAAGGTAGAAACTTAAAGGTTTTAAAAACATCAATGCTAATCTCACCGTGCCTAAATTATGACAGGTCTGTCCTAAAGCATTACCTGCTGACCAAGAAGCAAGGCTATTTCCAACCTAAGAGGCTGGCACTCGACAAACATTAGCAAACGGCTCTGAAAACAAGACGCTTTGCTTCACTCACGTCCGACCCCTAATGCGGCGCACACACCCCGTCAGACAGCAGTGACAGGAGGAGGGCAAGCAGGCCTTTTTACAAGTGCTCTCCGCTCTTCACCAACACTTGAGGATTTCTACTTGAAGGCCTGTTTTCTAAGCTTGCGCTTTCAAAACTTGGGTTGGCCCGATCCCAAATACTGAAGTAACAAATATTACTAGGTTCTGTCATTTCCTCTACCAAAAAAGTGATTTTACTACTACTTCTGGTTGTGATGAAAGGTCCTATTGACTATTCAAATCCTCAACCCAGTTATGGACGCTGTATTAAATGACTTCACTCCTTCTTCTCTGGCACTTTAACACATGCCAATGCTTTCATCCACCTCCACTAACATGGCTTATAAATTACTGAGGTGGGGTCATTTTAGTAGTCTGATTTGTTCACATCTCTAGAGATGGGGTCCAAATGAGACTGGCTCATTTGACATCATGTATTACTATACATCTGCATGAAAATAGATCTTCAAAAGTTAGAAATATCTCATGGCCATAATACTTGCTTAGGAGACAAAATAATGTTTTTTGATTGATTACAAATTAAAATTTGAAAAAGTGATGGTAGTATGGTTAAAGACAAAAATGAAACTTCCCCTAAGAAATACCAAGACACAGAATCAAGAGAGAGCTGAAGTTAAGAAAAAAAAATTAAAGGCCACAAATTTACTAAAAGTTTTTTTCTAGGTGCTCAAAAGGGACTCCCTTTGAACACACTTTGAAATTTAATAAAATCTATTTTTTATTTTTTAAAGATTTATTTATTTATTTAAAAGGCAGAGTTACAGAGAGGAGAGACACACACAGAGATCTTCCATTGGCTGGTTCACTCCCCCAATGGCCACAATGGCCAGGCTGAAGCCAGGAGCCCAGAGCTTCATCTGGGTCTCCCATGTTGGTACAGGGGCCCAAATACTTGGGCCATCTTCCACTGTTTTCCCAGGCACATTAGCAGATACCTGGATTGGAAGCGGAGCATCTGGGACTTGAACTAGCACCCATATGGGATGCTGGCATTGCAGATGGTGGCTAAACCTACTACACCGCAATGCTGGTCCCAAGAAAGCCTGTTTTTCAGAAGTTTATTGTCTCTGCCTTTTAAAACTGCAGCAACAATGATGAAATAAACAAACACAGTAAAACACTTGCTTCCTATGTATTTAGAGTGATTGATCTGTTGATCTTAGATACACACATTTTAAAATTTTCAAAAACAAGTATAAAGTTGGAGAGAATACACAATTATTAGAAGTATTCCATTCTTAAACAGATGAATAAGGCTAGTTCAGCATGCTTGTGGCCCTGATTCATTTAGGAGTAAAACCGGAGGCCTGACTTTCCTAGGCTCTCTGCCGCACACAATCAGCTCCTATCTTGGTCTTGCTCTCAAAGCTAGCACCTCTCTATAGCATCCTTTGTATTCCTACTGAGTCCTTGAGAATAAATAAGTGTGTATGTATGTCTGTGCATATGTGCACATGTATGTCTGTGTGCCTAAAGCTGGGATTTATGAGGGAGTCCCAGCATTTGGGCAGGAGCAGCTTTCAGCTTCAAGCTCCCAACAGTCTCCCAACCTTAACACTTACATGCCTAAAGTAAGAAATAGTACCAGGAGAGATGGGCCTCAGAACTCAGATCAGAACTTAGTTCTACGAAATGATGCCAACTTCACTCCAAGACTCTGGTCTCTGTAGTATCCCCGTGCTCTTTCCACTACGGCTGACTTCACAGGAGGTGCCCCCTAATTTACTTCTTCCTTAATGCAATCTTAGTCTGGGCACTTCTTGTCTGGTTCTGTCAATGCACTGCCTTTTCTATGGTGTGATCAACAGAGTATGAGCTAGGCAGCCTTGAAATTAAAGTTCTGTTTCTTTGACTGAAATACTTATATGCCAAAAACAGGGAGAGAAAGCATGGCAGGGGGAAGAATGGCACATGGCAAGGTGAGTCATGGGCTAGTGGCTGCGTGCAAGGCTGCAGAGAGGAACACGAGCTGGAGGGGAATGAACAGCAAAGCAGTATGAGTGAGAGGGCACCAGCATGAGGGTATGAGGCAAATGACTAAGTGAGCACTGCAAACTGGAAACCGATCCAATTTCAAATAAGTATGACAATCTGAATTAGAAATTGAATTAAAACAACGCCAACATCAAGCTGAGATTGGTTGAGGAAAAGAAAGGCCAAGATGACAGTATATGGAAGAATAACTCTAGATCAATCAGACATGAACAAGAGGACTGTTCAGAAAGTGTTTAGATTTATAGAGATGAAAAGCAACTCAGGCTCATTAAAAAAAAGAAAAACACACAAGCCTTATTACTTCTATAAAACTGAAAGGTCAGAGGATACAGTTGACGATGTTTTTAAAACAAATAACAGCCAAACTGGATACATATCCATGTGGTATTCCAATTGGAAGGATGTCCAAATACTAAGTACTGAAGCTAGTCTTTTTTTTTTTTTTTCAATGTATTTACTTGAAAGGCAGAGTGACGGAGAAAGAGACAGAGACAGAGAGAGAGAGAGAGAGAGAGAGAATATGAATGAATAAATATCCTTCATTTCTTGGTTTGCTCCTCAAATGACTCTAAAAGCCAGGGATGGGCCACATCAACACCACGAGCCACAAACTCCATCCAGGTCTCCCACATGGGTGTTAGGGGCCCAAGTACTTGGGTCAGCTTCTGTTGCCTTCCCAGGTGCATTAGCAGGGAGCTAGATTAGAAGCAAAGCAGCTGGGACTTAAACCAGCAGCACTCTGATAGGTAATGCCAGTATTGCAAGTGGTAGCATAACCCACTCACTGTACCACAACACCAGGCTCAAGTCTTCCTGTACAACTAGAAAATTTATGGAGCATCTACCAAATGTGCTAAAGAAATGTTACATAATTGTTTCAGTAAAACATAAACTCGGGCATCTGACAGTCTTATAATAGCATATAGAAAAATATTATTCAAGTGGGATAGCAACAGAAGTGATGTTGAGAGAGCCACAAAAATCCAAGATGGGTTGGAAGGACCATATGCTTGTTTTTTTTCGTTTGGGCCCTGGGGATCACTGAGGACTTGCCAAAGCATTAAACTTTTACTCCATAAACTATGAAGTAAAATGAGTCCCTAGACTTGGCCAAAGAGAAGAAACCAATTACCAGTCAAGCTGCAGAGGTAAATGGCTATAAAGCCCACACAGTCAAGTGCCCACCACCAGTAAGTTAAGAACTCAGGGAAGGGCTTCTGAATTTAGCAGAATTCCAATACAGTCACTGAATACCACAGTGTAAGACCATGGCCAAAGAAGAACTTTGCAATACCAATGCAAAGGGGTCAAGGACAACACTTATTTATAGAGAAAGAAGGTGGGCATTCCAAGGAGGAAGGAGAGGAGTGAAGAAGAGTTACTTACCTGTGCTATATTTTTGTTCAGAAGATAGACACCATAATCAAATTGTAACTTCTCCCCTCCTTTTGGATATAGTGGGAACCTAAAGAAGGTAAAGAGGGGTCAGAGTTTTCCAAAACTGAGTAAATACAACCTCTGAGTTGTTGACAGAGGCTGAAGTTTCTTAGCTACTGCATAAATATCTCATGAGTTGGCCTCAATCACTTAATTACAGCCACTGTGATCTACTAAGATTTTCATATTAGTCAAGTCGGAACAACAGCTGATTGCTTTCAAAGAACAAACACACAATAAGGGTGACCCACAACTCTAAGGAGGTGGGGCCGCTCTTCCAATTACGTATCATAACTGCCATCCTAAGATAAAGATCTCAGAAGTTTTTCCCTCTAATAATACCTTGGGTCTGACATCTCAAATTCTACTAAACATGAGATGAAGATTATAGAAAAAAAAAAATCAAACTTCAAAGCCATCTATAAGATTTTTTTTTCTCTGAAGGTGCCCGTCAAACCAACAGTGCCAAAATGAGCCAAAATTCATTCAAAAGTTCATGCACATGTACAGGGATGGCCATTTGGATGCAACTTCTCTGAGGCAATGTGCTCAGGCAATAAAGCTCTCACAGATGACTTTCCATTTTAACCTGACTTGCGGAAGAAACAAAAGCATGAGATCTGCTTCATAAAGATGGTGAGTTATTTTAGAGAACAAGTTTCCCTCACTAGTTCCCTTTCCTTATCTCTGCAAATGAAGAGGAAAAGATTAGAGCAAACATATATTCCAGTCATTTCCTCCCTGACTCTAAAGATCAAACATAAAGTTTTATAATCTGAATTAGATTTCTCCACCAACAGATGAATCATAACTTATGCTGTAACTTAGGCAAAAAGAAAACTTTATCTTCCTTAGTTTTGCAATATATGATTACTCTTAAGAATAAAATAATCTTGTTGAAATGAATGGTAGGTGATAATTACTGGATATTCTTAATTGCAAATGTCTTTTAATTGCTTGAAGAAAAAAATGTGTCCTATAAAGCCTGGAAGAGATTGTTTTCTAAAGGAAATAAAATAAAGGAAGCAACTTAAAAGTTTATTTCAAATTCTCAGGAGTTGCTGGTTATATAGTATCCAAAAGACGAATTTGTTGTGCTGTAAAGCTATAAGCACTGGGGGACAGCAAGGTCATGAACTATATCTATTCTCTACTAAGGGAAACCAAATGCTTCAGACACCCATCAAGAAGATAGAGCTCTGTATTTAATTGAAACAGTAAAAAATAAACTAGGACATGTGGTTTGGCTCCAAATTGAGGTGCATAAAAAGGATAACAAAGCAAATTCAGGACAAGCAAAGTACAATTCTAGGCTTGTGCAAGGTGTCTGGGAATCATTCAAACACATATGGGGCAGCATGCAAAGAAACAATACATTTGCAAAGACATACCAATGGGGGCACTTTACAGGAATCTGCTAGAGTCCTAAAGCTCTGTGTAGTTGCTATTCTACAAACCATCAAATTCCAACTATCTGAACAACTCCAAACCCACAGCCATCTCCATTTCCAAGATACAAATCCAGAAACTATTTCATACATTGGAAGGATAAATTGAGATCAGCATGATTGAAAACCAGGCCTTTACATTCCTGCAAAATGGGTCTTACAACACTTGGCTTTATGACGACTTCATTGGGGCTTCTTTATAGAGGAGCCACAAGGTGTGTATGTAGCATGAAAACAAATCTAAAGCATGATTAGAGCCAAAGGTTGAAAGAGGGCAATATAAATACAGATCAAATATTAGGACAGAGTTCACATGTTACACTGCTTTCAAATTCTTACTGGGTCACTTCAAGTTGAACAGTGTAATAGCTTATAACTTTCACACATTCATTTTACTTTGTAAAAGTACACAGATTTATAGATTCGTTAAGCAATCTGGAAAAATGGAATCCATTTTAAAGGTCAAAACCTATTACCATCAGAACATAAGATACAAATCAAAGGCATTTTATTTCAGTACAGATGGAGAATCAGATTAGCCCACACTATAAAAGGTTTAATAAGATGTGGTCTCTCAAGTACAACGAGAAAAATCTCTAACACCACAAACAGATCTCATTAGAGACAGCATTACATTTACTAATGGGAAAACAAACTGTATTTCCTATTAACACATTATTTTATTAATTATTACATTCAATCAAAATGGTCACTAACAAATTCTTTTTCAAATTAAATAAAACTATCTTCAAATTATTTGAAAAAAAATCACTCGGTCTTCATGGTGAAAATCTATGAATTAGAAAATAATAGATTATGCAATGGAATTCCATCTGAGGATTACTATCACTGTAACTCACGCCAGGTGGTGAGGAGTGACTGGGGAGAACTTACAGACCTCCAACCTTAATTACAGATCCCCCTTTTATCTACTGTACATAATCTCTTCATTGTAGACTCTCACATTGACTTGGGTCAGTTTGTAACCCTTCCATTTTCCAGCTTCTAATTTTTTATTCACTGTGTGATTGTTATTAATGTGTATCTCTATTTGTGTACTGTAGGCTCCAAAAGGGCAGAAACATTCCTTATTTACCTCTCTGGTCAAGAGTCTAGCACTATTACTTGTAGACAATAAAAATATGCTGAGTTGAAAAAAATAGATGATGTGTGAGAAAGATCTGGAGTGCTTCAGTATCCAACAATTCCAATAGGAATCGAGGATTAGGCGTCACTATATAAAAAAAAAAAAGCTAATGTGATCCCAGGCTGTGTTAACAAATGCAGGGACGCTAAACTCGAGAATGTGCTTTGTGACAACTACTTTGGTTAACGTGTATTACATAAATATTACATAGACAGATAAATTATAGGGACCTTACTAACAGGTAGAAATTTATGTATAAATACCCATAGAGACAGAATGCATGAGGACTATTTCACACTCAACATGGAAAAAATTTAACAGAAATGGATTTTGAATCCTTCTTACTTAAAAAAACACACAATTATTCCAAAGCACTAGTCTATTCTCCCTCACCCCAGACATTCATGCAAGAGCTCCAAGTTAGTGACAGTTTCTTGCCTAACCTTAGAGCCTCACATCCAGGTCTGGTCCTTTAGGCAGGATATGGGGCCAGTTCCTTCAAACCATTACCATGCCCTGAGTCCATGACTTTCCCTCAGAATCAACACACTTGCTACCCAGGTTTAGACAGACATCCCATTTTTACCCACCTTCTTTGCCTTTTTTATGTGCAGTGATTTCCAAGTTGACAAGTCAGTTTCCCTCTGAAATATTCTGACTTCTCCATTCTTAATGGCACTCTGGACAATTCTTTTATGTGGGCGCTTTCCTACACACTGGGGGATGTCTAGTGGGGCAACAACCCTGTCCTCTGCCCACTAAGGGCCAACAGCTCTCCACTCCCAGCTGTGAGAACCAAAAATGTCTGCAGACATTGCCAAGTGTCGCTTGGGTGGGAGTGGGAGAGGGTTCAAACTGCCTGCAGTTGAGAAGTGCTGGTCTAGGCTCTTGGTTTGATTACTACAGCCACTTCCTGGCCAGCATCCTCAATGCCAGTTCGTTCTCCCCGTCACTGTCAGACTGACGTCGGGCAGCCTCATATGTTTTGAAAAATTGAACAGTGACAGCAGACACCAAGTTTTTCCAGTCTCAGCTCTATGAATTCCTTGTTACATGAGTTTGGGTAAATCCCAACTGCTCTAGAGCTGTGAAGTGGAGAAACTACCATCTTTCCAGTCTCTTCACAAGCATCTCGTGAGGATAGAACCCAAAAGATTGAGAAAGTACAAATTATGATATAAATATACTTTCTTATGTCATTTCTCAGTCCTGTTTCCAAATCAGTTTTTGTTTGAAATTTCAACTCTTCTGCTGAGCTTTCAAGGCCTAAATTGTCTGGTCTGATCTGTGGGTTTATCGGCCGCCTTTTGCTCAAGTGTCAAGAATACACCAAGCTAGTTTCTCTTTCTCTGCTTTTGCTCACTTCCTAGAAACGTCTATCTCTTTCCTTTCTATTCAAATACTAGTCTATTCTATAAGATCTGGGTGAATTTGTCATGTCCCTTTTATTTTTAAATTTTGAAAAAATTTTATGTATTTGAGACAGAGAGACAGCACTTCCATGTGCTGGTTCCCTGGCCAAATTGCCTCTAATTGACAACTACTGATTAAAGCTCTTAATTTGATTCCTGGCCAGCATCTTTAATGCCAGTTCATTCTATCATTGCCAGATTGATCTGAAGAAGTTTGTTTTGCCCACAATGGCCCTAAATGGGGCTGAAGCCGGGAGCCAGGAATTCAATCCAGGTCCCCCTTATGGGTGACTTGAGCCATCACTGCTGGTTCCCAGGGTCTGCATCAGGAGGCTGGAGTCAGAGCCAGGTGCTGAACCTAGGCACTCTGATATGGGATGAGGGCATCTTAGCAGCGAGGCCAAACGCCTCTTCCCTCTCCACCCCCAGGCTTCACTGATTCTCCTGTGACCCTCCTGTTGCCTATTCAGTGCCTAGAGATTGGCTGTAAGTTGTTTCTGTATTTGTTTATTTCACTTTCTAGTGGGAGGGCCTTAATTCTCCTCACCTCACAATTCATAGGTGCACAGTTCTTTTCTGGCTGATTTATGTTTTAGTTGAGGGCTAAGTCACATTTAAAGAAGTAACCACAAAAAGACATTTTTTCAATGTTTATTTTTCCAAAAACGTCCCCCTAAAACAACCACACAGTACATTGTGAATCAACACTGGTATCCTCAGGGTTTCAGGATAGATTATTACATTACTATCGAGTGGACTCCTCTTGCTAGGAGGTTTAGAAGGCCAGTCTTTGTAACTTGTGGCTTGAATACTATCAGGAGCAACCAGCTCTTGGTTGGAGCACTGCTAAATCTTAAAGCTGCATGGACTTCAAAGAAGCAGTTTAAAAACCAAATAAAGGCCACTAATTCTTCAGAATAAAAAAAAATGTGGTACAACAGGTTAAGTTACCATTTCCGATGTCACATCCCATAGTGTAGTGATGATTTGAGTTCGGCTACTCTGCTTCAGATCCAGCACC